AGAGGGGGGAAAGGATAAAGGCAGTGTAGATAAAGAGAAGGAGGGGTGTTCATGGAGGGAGGGGGAGAGGAGGGAAAGGATAAAGGCAGTGTAGACAAAGAGAAGGAGGGGTGTTCATGGAGGGAGAGGGAGAGGAGGGAAAGGATAAAGCAGTGTAGACAAAGAGAAGGAGGGGTGTTCACGGAGGGAGGGGGAGAGGAGGGAAAGGATAAAGCAGTGTAGACAAAGAGAAGGAGGGGAAGAGGAGGGAAAGGATAAAGCAGTGTAGATAAAGAGAAGGAGGGGTGTTCACGGAGGGAGGAGGAGAGGAGGGAAAGGATAAAGGCAGTGTAGACAAAGAGAAGGAGGGGTGTTCACGGAGGGAGGAGGAGAGGAGGGAAAGGATAAAGGCAGTGTAGACAAAGAGAAGGAGGGGTGTTCACAGAGGGAGGAGGAGAGGAGGGAAAGGATAAAGGCAGTGTAGATAAAGAGAAGGAGGGGTGCTCAAGGAGGGAGGGGGAGAGGAGGAGAGGGGGAAAAGAGGAGAGAGTTGACACTTGAGTAGAATTTTAAAAAACATATAGAGCATTACCACATGGCCTCTTTATTGTGCCAGTTACACATACATGTTTGTGTATGTGTGTGTGTGCACATGCTCATGTGTGTATGTGTAGGCAGATTGGATAGATAGATGAGTAGATTTAATTTTAATGTTTTAGGCCTCTGAAGATGTGTGTGTGTGTGTGTGTGTGTGTGTGTGTGTGTGTGTAGTTACTGTAAACAGTGTACCTGACTCGTAGTAGTCCCTCAGTAAATATGTTCCGAAGATATTGATTTTGCTCGGTCTATTTCCCACTTCCTAAGTAACGACCCCTAATAATCTTCATAATGAAGCTAAATCAATAGTAACACAAGTGTGGAATTCAGCATTTGGAAAAACCCAGGTAATCCTTCATTCTGTACATGCATAAATATCAATTGCATTTCTGCAGTTTGCTTCAGTGCTTAGATAAGGCAAGTGCAATCCTTGCTCTGTGGATGATAAAATATATCTAAGATGACATTAAAAATCATCATTACCGTCTTTTTCAGTATCATTATCAGCCTTGCTACTAACAGTTGAGAATTTCCTAAATGCCAAGCCTCCTAGCATTTTTTATGTATTAATTCATTTAATCTTTACAGCAAAGTTGTAAATAGGCAATACTATTCTCCCTAGACTCCTAAGACCCCAAGAAATGCATAAATGTAAAAAGTTAATTTCAATGCAATGTGATGTTGTTATGAATTATACGTGATGTTTAAAATAATGCCTAAAAGCAGCTTTCAGTCCTAATATGCAAAGAAAATTAAGATTCCTCTCTTCTCCACAAATTCCCTACTTTTGCACACAAGAGAGGGGGTGGCAGTGAGAGAGAAAGAGGGTCCCAATAGTCTTTAAATATTTTTATTTTCAATTTTATCTCTTACAATTTCTAACTTTTCAAGGACAGAGTCACCGGTGGTAATGGTTGCAATTGCTTCATGTAAGTGCTGTTTGAGAAGTTATTTGTTCAGATAGAGAAGGTAATACAGACGCTGTGATGTGGTCTGGAGCCTTCCCGAAATAGGGGGAAAGGGCATACCAATTGAGACGTAAGCAAAGGAGCTCTCCTTGGGAATTTAAAGCCCCTGTTTCATTTTCTGACCTCACTACATAGACTTTCACACCATCCAGGGCTGCTATTGGATAATAACTGTGTCCAATAACCCCAGGGACCCAACCAATTTATCATGGACGCTGCTGGAGAGATTTTCGGTTTCTTGCACCCCAGTCTTAGGCTGTGGGGTCTAGGGAAGCCAAAGGGTTGCTAATTGCCATGTTAAATTCTCCTGGCCTCAGCTATTCTCTCCCTTGTGTCTCTCAATCTCTCAGTCCAATTGGAGACGTCTGTGGGAATTTATCCGCACGCCAGGAGCTCAAAAAGCACTTACTGCTAGCCCGCATGTATCAGCAGAGGAGAAAGGTGGTTTCCGTTGGGGTGGCTGTGCTCTGCATTTTATGATGCTATTTCATAATGGGAGGTTGCAATCTTCTGCTGACTGTAAGATAAAAGGGCAGGAATTCACAACAACTTGTGTTTGGGGAAATGTTTTCTTGAATTTAAGGTTATCCATCACAATAACAGTTATTACTAATGTCCTTATCTGATGTCGTCTAAATAAAGTCCATTAACTGACTTTACATTGCTGGGCCCCGTTGCTCTAACTTTATTATAGCTGTCGATACCCTGTTCAAAATAATAATTCTAGCATTGATTTCTAGTCCTTCTTTGCTTAAAGACCCCTTGACATCTGAACTGGATTTCTAAAGTTTAAGACATTGGGTGGAGGTTGAAAGAAGACATTATGTCAACAAAATCTGTAGGTTCCTTCCTTATGCAATAGTTTAGGAAATTTAATTATGTTCCATAAAATGCACAATAAGTAGCTTGAGGTGGATAGTTTCTCTGCCTCTGCTGTCAAGTCTAAAATCTTTCCTAGACACACCAGATATATTTGCAACCTTTTCCAAAACTCATGAAGAAGCCTGTTTTACAATAATTAGTCATGGCAGCATCCTGATTCTACTCCAAAGTGACCTAAACACACATACAAACACCCTCCCAGCCCAGCACTCGGGAGGCAGAGGCAGGCAGACCATTGAGTTCAAGGCCACCTTGATCTATAGAGTTAGGTCCAGGACAGCCAAGACTACACAAAGAAACTCTGTCTCAAAAAACTCTAAAACACGACACACAAAATGATAACAAAATCCCTTCTTCCATAGCATATGCACATATGAAATACTACAATGCTTTTAGTGGGAATATATTTGACAAGTAGATATACTTTCTCAAATTGAAGAGAATGATTATATTTGTATCAGAAAGCAAGCTCACATTAATGGCTCATTCCTAGGCAGAATTAGCAGAGGCAGTGCGATGATATTAGGTGCATTTGAATATTGTATGTGACTGATATAACAGAAGTGGGATTCAGTGAGTTACTGTGATTCAGCCACAATGAAATGGTGTCCCAGGTGGACCTGGTTCTGCTCTTGGGTCTGTTCTCCAATCTGAGGACTAAGGAGCTCTTTTCCACAGGCAATAAGGGATTAGAGGTCTGTAATTCATATCCAAAACAGTTACACGTGGTTCTAGTCCCTCTTATGCTGCTTCCCTTCCAGATGAGACTAAGATCCCAGGGTTTTTCAAGGGCAATCTAGTGTGATAGAAAGAATGCCAGCTTTGAGTAAAAGATACCTCAGTTGTGGCACCTTTTCTACTACTAATAAAGTAGAAGATCCTGGGCCATTTCATGAATATTTCACACTTGCAGATTCTCTATATGAAAAAATAAAAATAAGATCATCTAATCTCATAGAATCATTTGTAAGAACTGTATAAAATTTAATGAATAAACTGTACACACACACAAGTTTTTTGAAACAGGGTCTCTCTGTGTAGCCCTGGCTTTCCTGGAACTCTTTCTGTAGACCTAACTAGCCTTGAACTTAGAGATTCAGCTGCATTTGCTTCTCAGGTGCTAAGAATAAAGGCATTACCACCACTGCCCAGATAAACTGACTATATTTTGGATATGAAGTGTCCCCAAAGGTTTCTATGCAAAAGGCATGGTTGCCAGTCTACTGTGCTGTTGATAGATAGTGAAACTCTTACCTGTCAATGCCTACAGGACAGATACTAGATTGTTGGGAGTGTGCCCTTGAAAGAAATACTAAGAGTACCTTTCTTCCTCTCTCTTTTGCTTCCTACTTGCAATGAGGTAAGCAGTGCTACATCTCCATGTACTCCCAACATTATCCTCTGTCTCACTATATCGGTCCACCATGATTGGGACAAGAAAGGGAGGAAGAAGGAGAGGGAAATATTTTTCTAACAAGACTCAATCATGTTGGACAAGGATAATAAGGCAGACAAGAACTATGATGAAGACAAGAAGTGGATAGATTCTTGGATCATAAACCACAACATGTTACCTTAGTTTTTAAAAGGCATCTCTTTTAGTTTTTCATTCTGAGTCTGTGTGTCTGTGTAGGAGTATATTCACATGAGTGTAGGTGTCTGTGGATGCCAGAGACATTAGATTCCCTGGGTCTAGAATTCCAAGAGGTGGTGAATGGGGTACACACACACATGTGAAAGCCGTATATCAGTGTTTGCTTCTTTCTTGGGCACCCTTTGCATTATTGCTTTGTGAGGGAGGGTCTCTGATTGAACCTGGAACTCAACGAGTTCGCCAATTTGGTGAGGCTATTTAGCAAAGGAGTTCCAATGATCTGCCTCCCTTGAGATGAACTTAAAGACCTGACATGTTTTTCTGTAGGAGCTGGACCTCTGAGCTCAGGTTCTCATGCTTGTCACAAAATAATTTCCTAACACATCTTCCCAGAGGCCAGCCTGCTCTGTTGTTACAGCAGTGCAAATGGGCTGAGGTATTTACGCTCCATTTTTACTGCCTATGCTTCTCCAAGTTTCTTAAGGGTTTTGAACAAAATAAAGCCAGCTTTCCTTCAATAATCATAACTGTAGCAATAATATAGGAAGGCAGAAAATGGCATCGCTCTTGAACTAATTTCCTGTGACGCATCTGTGTGAAACCCTGAAGTCTGCCTGGCTTTGCAGGATGGACAGTGCCATGGGTGCTTTCCCTTCCCTAAAATAGGAGCATTGGGAGATACAGACCTCAGAGCGCCCTTGTGAGGCTTTACTATTATTTGAAAGGTATGACCACAGCTTGAGAATAAATATCAGCTGGAAATAGTGGTAGTGGCAACCGTGGTAACTGGGAAGACAGCTTTAAGTCTCACAACATACAGCCATCTGGAGGTACCTAAGTTTCGTGGTGGTTAAACAAGTTTTAAAATATCATGTGGCTAAGAAGATTCAGGGTTATAAACTGGTTTCATTTTAGCTAGTGTTCTGTTTTCAGGCTACCCAATGCTATGACCATCCTAATTTGATTAGAAGTATAAAATGTTATCAGAAACTGATTTGTGGGAATTATTAGCTTTACCAACTCAGGCAGTTTGACAAAAAAGTAAGACCACAGTCCAGAGTGGGCTATTTCGCTTAGTGTGGTTCATGACTATCTTGGAACCTACATTGAAGGGGAAAAAAGAAGTATAAAATGGGAGCGAGAGAAACAGCTCAGTGGTTAAGAGCATTTTTTTCTGATGGAAGATCTAGGTTTGTTTCCCAGCACCCACATATGGCCTCACAACTATCTATTCCAGTGATAGGGATCCAGCACCCTCTTCTGATCTGCTTGGACAGTAGGCATGCATGTGACGCATGTACTTACATGCAGGCAAAACACTCATACATATTGAGAGAGAGAGAGAGAGAGGGGGGGGAGGGAGAGGGAGAGGGAGAGAGAGAGAGAGGAGAGAGAGAGAGAGAGAGAGAGAGAGAGAGAGAGAGAGAGAGAAATTCTCCACATGTACACTGAGGATGGAGAGATGGTCCAGCAGCTGTTAAGAGCACTAGCTGTTCTTGCAAAGGACCTGGGTTCAGTTCCCAGCTCCAACGTGGTGGTTCATAACCATCTGCAATTGTAGTTTCAGGGGATCCAGTGCTCTCTTCTGGCCTTCTTGGCTACTGCATTCACAAGATAGACACACATGCATGAAAACGTAAATACAGTTTGACCTCTTTAAACCCTTATGAGTTACTTGTTCTAAATTTTTCTTTCCGAAGTACTTTTTATATGCATAACTTTCAATACTTTTATCATCTTATTACATAGTTTTATTTCTGGACCACAGTAGGCAGGGAACAGTTTAAGGATAGAGATCAAGCTTTCCAAGACCAAGATATAAATCCTGGCACATAGCAGATGCCAAAGAAACATCTTTTGAACAAAACTCTATTTGAGGAGTATATACAGTATATAATAAAACAAAACAGACAAAAAGAATTTCATTGTGGTAATTTGGCTTTATGGAATAAAAACAGGCTGTAAGGAATATCACAGAGTTGTATTCAAAATGATAAGTAAATGATGAAAACAAGATACCAGTTTGGCTGTAGGAAGGAAATCTCATTTTCGGGTACTTCTTCCTGTAATGAGTACTGTGAGCTAAAATTTTAATAGTTCATGTGAGGAGCAAAATTAAAAAACCAATCAATATTTTCTTACCAAGAAAAGTTTGAGACTTAAGAGACTTGGGTATGAAATTTAACTATACAGAGACTATTTGACTTCAAAGACAGCCTAGGAGAAATTGGCTCTAGTTGATGTTTCCTATTAAAATGTATCCCATCCATCACCCTAATAGACCATCCATATGATTTGTCCATCACATTATGAGAACAAAATGCTGTCTTGTCTCCTTGATAATGCTTCTTGAAAATGGAAAGAAAGCAGTGGTGCGGGGGAGGAAGATTCTTCCACACTGTTCCTTTTCCGATTCTATTTTTTAAAGTTGTTCATAACACACAAGGTCTGGCATCGGGAGTAATTACAGTAAACCATGTAGAAATCCCAGAGGAAGCAGGTAGGGAGGATAATGTTTGCTACATTATAAACTTAAAAGGAAAGCACCGAGTCTGAGGGGATGTGAAGGTGAGTAAATCCTTGTAAGGAAGACCAAATGGATGATTCGGTTTCACCTACCTGAATAAGAGTCTCTGGGATATCCTAAGATGCAAGAATGGTCATGGCAGGCAGGCATTCGAGAAAACATTTTGCTAGCTGATAATGCTGAGCCCAGGCTAGACAAATGCCTGTGTCTGCAGATTGTAACCCACACTAATAATGTTGGTCTCCAATGTTGGTTCAAGAAGGGAGTCCCATCTGCTGTCTGCAGAGACAGCCCCAGGTCTCTGTTTCTCACTGCTCTCTCTGAGGTTATAAGACATGATTAACAATGGGAAGACTCTACTTAAAAAGAAGCTATTTTTTTCAAACCAATATTTGTTTCTCAGCTAATTTGGTCATAGTAAAATATATCATATGCAGGATGCCTCTATGTTTCAATGATAAAAATTTGTTAAGCCCCAAAATCACCACTAAATAGGCTCAGAGCTTACAAGCAAAAAAGTCACAAACATTGACGAGAACATGTCTATTCCCCCAAGTCAAGTTTTACTTGATTTTTCAACTAAGTGTGCACAGTCACTCAAAAAAAAAAAAAAGCATACAAAAATGCCTGCAGCCACCAATACCTTCAGGAAATTGTCCCTGTGGTAGGTGATAAGCCTCTCCTAAATTGAACTGCCTCTGCTCTAAACAGGCTGGCAGGTGTGGCCACAATTTGAACAGATGTTTCCACATGTGGGAGCTGGGGTTTGAGGATCTCTCTGATGCCTGTGCATTCTCTTTTATGTCAGTCAATGTGGCCAAGCATGTTCAAGCTGTCCTTCTCTTCTGCCTCACCCTGGCCTTCGGTTGATAGAGCTGTGGGCTGTGGTATGCTATTTTTTCTTCTGTATTTTTAGATAATTGTTAAGAGCTGTTTTCTCATAGTGTTTGTGGGATTCTTGAGTTAGGCTTTCTGGTCTGTTTTAATACATTATTTTATAGGAGGAGAGGAAGAAGGAGAGAGAGGGGGAGGGAGAGAGGGGAGAAAGGCGAGAAGGAAGGAGGGAGGGAAGAAGAATAGTAGAGGCCTGAGTTTTAGAAACCTTGGCCAAAGGCATTTGACCTTGCCCTGGGTCTGTTTTGACACAGGAATGTGAACTGCCTGGGGAAGACATTAAGGGAACAGGGTGACTGTTTTGTCATGTCTTATTGTTTAATTAGATCAAAAGTTAGATCCCAGTTTTAAAATCCTTTTGGCACATGCCATAATTCTCAGCCAGTATCAAGCATTTCCTAGCAGCTGTCTATATAAGGCAAAAAGCAAGTAAATTAATTAAGTATTTGAAACAGCCTCTTCATTCATTCATTCATTCATTCATTCAATGACAGATTGTTAGAATAGAGTTTTTAGTGGTCAATCACTCAATCATTTTCTGGAAGTAATTGTACCCTGTGGCTCTCAAACGCTCCATTTAATCCCAGGTTTCCTTCCCTCAAACCATATTAAATGCTCCGGGCATGTAGAGTCCTGGATCCTCCCCATGTTGTGTCAGTGTTTAAAAACTTCCTAGTTTTATTCACAAACGCTCACCTGACTTTCTCCAGACATAATGCAGAATCAAAGTTCTAGACCCTGCCAGGGGAAAGTTGGTGTCTGAGTCAAAAGGTCCTGATGCACCCAGTCTTGGGAGCTTAGACATAGGAGGGTCTCCTGGACAGTCAGTCTAGCTTACCCAGTGCACACCAAGTCCAGAGAGAAATCATGTCTCACAACATACGGTGGAGAGAGAGTTAATGACGTCCTCTGGCCTCTGCACCAACAGACACAGTGAGAGAAAGAGGAGAGAGAGATCGTGATAGAGACAGAGATAGAATTGGAAGGGGGGATTAAAAAGAAATATATCAATGATTCCAGAAACCTTCAGTCCATGGAAAGCTTCCCCTCTCTGGTCTTGCTTTAAATGCTGGATGTTTTTTAGCATCCATAGCCTCAAACCTTGGGACTTAGCTCCCTTCCTGCAAGGAGACCATGCCACAGATCAATTAATCTGATGTCTGAGAAATTGCCTGCAAATTTCGTTTTCCTTTAGAGCCAAATAAAACTCTACGTTTTCATTCTCCATTCATCAATTGAAGGATATCTATGTGGACTCAATCTCTGACCTATTGTGAATGGAGTATCAATACACATGAATATGCAAAAATATCTGTGGTATGTTGTAGAGTCATTTCGTTATATTTTCAAGAAGGCGATTGCTGGTTCATATGATCGTTATATTTTTAGTTTTGTGAGAAGGTTCCAGAGTGGCTTTACTTGTTTGTGCTTCCTTGCACAGCAAATAAAGGGTTCCTCTTCCCCTTCATCCTTACCAGCACTTACTGTCATCTGTTCTCATGCTGGTGTGTGCTGAGTTTATAGCATCTGTTGTACAGTCAGATGTGATATCAATTGCCTCATTGATTCATAAATGCAAGACTCATCATTCTATGAAGAGTCTTGAAATCTTGAGAATAAAGGAAGCCTTCTAGAGAGCTTTGGAAAGAGAACAGAGATTTTCAGGAAGAGTTCTGGGAAGAACCTACATTTCAGATGTGAATAATTGAAAACCAATCTTTGAAAGATAACAATAAAGAAGGGCCATGGAGGTAGGATTAAATCAAAGGCTGTGTTGTATCACCGGAAGAGGAAAGGGAGTAATTTAGGTGTTGTCCGATACAGTCAAATGGAGAAGTCAAAACCTAAAGGTATTTTTATTTTTTACTGACAGCCATTTTTGACCTTATCCAAAAGAGTTTTATCGTTGCTATTGTTATAGGTGCTGATGACATCAAATTAATTTAGTCAGTTGTAATAATTGATGCCTTTCAAGGCTTTGCCCATTTAGCCCAAGTTGTCATATTTAGTGGCACAAAATCTTTACAATATTCTATTCTTGCCACTTTAATCACCATGTGGTCCCTAGTGGTGTGATGGCTTCATTCTGCGTGTTGCTTGCTGCTCTTCTTTCTCTCTATCTTGATTAATTTAGCTGGAAAATTATCAATTTTGTTGATTTTTTTCCATGAAGCAAGGTTTGATTGTATTGACCCTTGCTATTCTTTCTCTATTTGATTAACTTCCTCGCTTTTCAATTTCTTCTTCTACTAATTTTGGATTGTATTTGGATTCTTTTTATGGCTGGGATGGGGGCAGAGGGAATCTTATGCAGTAACCCAAACTGGCCTACATCAAGTTGGTAGCATTCTCCCTGCTTCAACCTCTCCACTGCTCTCACTATAGGTACGAGCTGCCACACCTGGCTTGTTCTTGTTTTTAAAATATTAATAAGGAATCTTAAATGACTAATTTTAGAATTTTATCATTTTCAATACAAACATTACTGAGTTTCCCCCAACTTCAGCTGTATCTCATGACTTTGATATGCTGTATTTTAATTTTTCTTTCATTTAAAATTATTTTCTATCATTTCTTTAGCTTTCTTGTCTTCTATTAGGATGAAAAATCATGCTGCTTTACTTTCAAATGACTAAAGATTTTCCAAATTTTGTTTTACTATCCATTTATAATTTGAGTCATTTGAT